CAAAAGTCTTCTGTATATAGAAGGCCTTATTGAGGTATTCTGTATAGCAAATATTATCAAAGGTATAAGATACTTATAATTGAAGAAAACTTAAATTATCATAACATATTTGCAAAGAGGATCTTTAAGACGTTCCCCGTTCTGTAGAAGATTAGTAAAATGTGAAATGTCCATTATATTTCCTTCAAAGGTCTAGCGGCATCCATTCTGCCTAATAAAGTTCGGTTACTCCCTAAAACAATCAACAAATCTGATCTTATTACCTTTTATTATAACAAATAATTTGGGCTGCGGAGACCTTTTAAGGGCCAATATACGAAGAAGGCTTTTTAAAATTCCATAGGGAGAAAGATCTACTATACAAAGAAAGTAAAGCAAAGGATATCATTGAAGGACTTTTGAAAACGAAAATCTCTTACGGATCAGTTATTAATGGAAGACCTCTTAGAGGTCTTTTTTCTATTATCATTAGACGACAAACTTCTTACAGGTCTTTTACAGACAGAAGTTCTCTTAAAATGTTTCTATTAAATGCTTACTAGAGACGGAAGTCCTCCGAAAAGTCTTATTTAGAGAGAAGCCATCTTAAAGGTCTTATATGGAGAGATTGGCAAAATACCTCTTGCAGGTATTCTATAGCCATAAGACCCATCACAGATATTCTTTAAGCTAATCTTCTATAAACAGAATATTGCTGATATTATGTAGACAGAATACCCTTTACGGACCTTTGAAAGGACTTCTATACATAGAAGACTCTTTACAGACCTTTGAAAGACATCTATAGATAGAAGACCTCCCGCGGATCTTGTAAATAACGTAAAATATTTTCAGGTCCCTTTCAGACAAAGATTTCTTACATGTCCTCTGTGGAGAGAATACCTTTTATAGATCTTCTGTGGACAAATGACCTTTACAGATCTTTTGTGGACGGAAGACCTTTTACAGATCTTGTATAGAAAAAAGACTTTTGCAAGGATTTCCATAGACAGAACACGTTTCATAAGTCTTTTTTATACAGAAGACCATTAACAGATCTTCCATAGGCAGAAAACCTCTAACAGATCTTCTAAAGACAGCAAACTCTTACAGGTTCTACAGACAGAGGAGCTCTTATAGGTCTTTTATAGATAGAAGATTTCATTCAGGTGTTCTATAGAAAGAGGACTTCAGGTTTTTTATAGGCAGAAGACAGGATATCTCATAGAAGCCACCTATAGACGAATGACATCTTATAGTCTTGTAAATGCATATATATGTAGAGAAAAGGACCTTTACAGACCTTTGAAAGGACTTATATATAGCAGACATCTCGCAAATCTTGTCAAGACTATACAAATGTTACAGGTCCTCTGTAGACAGAAGACCTTCCAAGGATCTTCTGTGGACAAAAGTCCTTCCACAGATCTTCTATAGACAGAAGACCTTTGAATGGACCTCCGTGGACAGAACACCTTTCACAAGTCTTCTATAGACAGAAGACCATTCATAGGCAGAAAACCTGTTAGAGATCTTCTAAAGACAGTAGGCCTCTTACAGGCTTTACAGACAGAGGAGCTCTTGCAGATCTTATATAGATAGAAGATTGCATAAAGGTATTCTGTAAACAGAAGACTTCATACAACCTTCCTATAGGCAGAAGACCTTTTATAGGTCATCTATATTCAGTAGACCTCATAGAGGCATTCTACAGACCTTACAGAGGAAATATTTTATCGACAGAAGACCTCGTGTAGGTATTGTATATTTAGAAGATCTCTTACAGGTCCTCTATAGGCAGGAAACCTCTAACAGATATTCTTAAGACAGAAAACCTGTTACAGGTGCTATAGACAGAGGAGCATTTATACGTTTTCTATAGCCAGAAAGGCCTTCTGTAGGCAAAAAACATCAAAGAGGGTTCCTATGGGCAGAAGACCTCTTATGGGGTCTCTATAAACGTGAGACCTAATAAAGACCTTCTGCAGACAGCAGACCTTTTAGAGGTATTTCATAAAAAGATGACCTTTTACAGGTCTTCTATAGACAAAATCCCTTTTCTATAGACAAATGACCTCTTGCTGCTATTTTATATTCAGAAGATATCTTACAGGTTTATAGACAGGAAACTTCTATAGAATACAGGAAACATTTAACAGACTCCTACATGTGTTCAATAAACCCAAGACATCTTGCAGGTCTCCTGTAGGCAGAATATCTAAAAAATACGTCTTATAAGTAAGGAGACCAGACGGACTATTTTACAGGTCTTCTACAGACAAAAGGCCATCTATAAAATTCTATTAACGAAATACGTTTCCTAGGTCTTCTATTACAAACAGAAGACGTTGTTACATTTTCTAATAGTAGAAAATTTCTTACGGGTCTTATGTAGATATACGATTTCTTATAGGTCTGAACGGAAAGCCCAACCCTGCTTCTTTATATGTTAAAGACTCTTAAAAGGTCTTCCGTATAAAGAAGTCTCTTTCACAGGTTTTCAATGTACAGAAGTCCAGTAAGAGCTCTTCTATGAAGAAAATATTTTTTACAGCTCTTTAGTGAATATAAGACATTTCTCCAGACCTTATGCATTAAATAATGCCAAATATAACCTCCTACTTTCCAAATTATTCTGACCAGCAATATATGTTAATCGACATCACCTAAATTAAGAATCCATGTTTCTCCTCATGAATGTTAAAATAGATTTTGGTCAGAGGTCATTTTTATAATGTTACCATTTTTAATGACAGCAACACACAGAGATGACGACAATAGACCACAATTCAAAAGGAAAATGCCTCCCCCGCCTGTGTTAATAAAGACATGTCATTGAAGGTAGTTTTTTTTTTCTATTTTACCTGTCAAACTACATCGGCATGTGTGTGGTCATTAAGTTCTTTGTCTGTCTGTCAATTGATTTAGTTGTGGACGGCGATTGTGTTTTTTTTTTATAATTAGGACATCGTATAATGAACATAATGTAGACCATAAGGTCTGGTGATAATTGCCGGTTTAATGGGAGGATATTTGTGACGTATAATTTGTGTGACGGATTTCAGATAATATTACGTTCTTTGTTGTATTTGTTGTTAATTGTTTTTCTTAGTTTGTAGGTTTGTAAGGGAGAAATAATAATTAGGTGGATGTCTGTGCGTAATTCACATAAGGTGATAGTCAGATTGACAGGGGTATGTATTGAAGGTCAGCAGCAAATATTCCGTTGTAAAGGTAAGGGTTTGTTAAATTTGGAAAAGTATTGGGAAATATATTGAAGTTCCTATGTTAGAAGAAATCCAGAATTTTGGTTATAGACTTAGAATGTACAGGGTGATATGAAAAAACACTGCAACCAACATAAGACTGCTGTCATTTCTAAGCCACTCGTCCTCGACAGCTGTTAAAATCATTCCAGTGACAACTCATTATATTGTTACAAGCATACAAAAGAATTTTGGTGAGAATTTTCCAGAAAAAAAGTTATTCCTGTTGGAATTCAAGCGTGATAGTGTGATACTAATAGCGTAGCCCGGCGTCAAGGAAGTGGACGGAAGAAAACAGGAACGTCAGCGGAAATGGTTCGAAAAGTAAAGAAGCGACATGATCGAAACGCGCGTCGCAGCGGCCAAAAAATGGCTTATGAGCTGAACATATCGCAATATTCCATTCGGCAAATATTGAAAAATGAGCTCGGGGTAAAGCCATTGAAATTCCAAAAAGTGCAAGAACTTACACCGCAAAAGAAATAAAATAGACTAAAGAGTTGCTTCGCTTGGCCCAAAGTGTTAAACTGCGGAATTTGGTTCTCTCCGATGAAAAAATATTCGTTTTCCAGCAGATTGTAAACAAACAAAATGATCGTGTTTACTTGCCAAAGAGGTCAGCTGAAAAGGTGCACCTTTGGTTGGCCACCAGAACTTAAGCGCCGACTATAGTGATGGTGTGGGCTGCCATAACAGCCGATGGTTACTCTCCGCTCGTATTAATCAACCATGGCATCAGAATAAATGCTGAATGTTATCACGAAAATATTCTGGAGGTTGTATTAAAGGCTTAGGCAGCAAACATTTTGGCCGCAGACCTTGGACATTCCAACAGGACTCAGCGCGATCGCACTTAGCACGCGCCGCCCAAGAATGGTTAGAAAATTAGGTACCTTGTCTCATTCACAGCGCACAATGGCCACCAAAATCTCCGGATACCAATCCGTTGGACTATTGTGTCTGGAGTATTTTGGAAAGCAAGGTTGGCACTAAAAAATACCAAAGTGTCGATCACCTCAAGCAAGGCTTCGCGGGGAATGGGCTAAAATACCACTGAGTAGCATTCGAGCAGCATGTGACGGTTTCATTGGCCTTTTGAAGGCCATAATTCGTGCCAATGGTGACCAATTCGAACAAATCTAAACTTATTCTAAAATTTGATGCTATTTCCGACATTTTTTACTTTTAATTCAATAAAATTAAAATCAAATGTAAAAATTATGGCGTTTGACTTTGTTGCAGTTTTTTCTATCTCAGCCTGTATATTGAAGGTCAGCAGCAAATATTCCGAAGTATTTGAAGAAATATTTGGAAATATTTTGTAGTTCCTATTTTAGAAGAAAGTCAGAATTTCGGTCGTTTTACGGACTTAGATTACCAACTGTTCCTGTGGTCAATTTGGCAATTTGTCGGCCCATATATTTCTGTTCATCCTCTTTAAGAATTTGTAAGATTAAGATTTGTTTTTTTTTTATTGTCTGGTGCTTCAACAAATTGAAAATTTCTCCCATAGAATTTTCCCATAAATTTTCAAAGAAATATTATCAGCTTGATAGCAGCTTAGAAAACATGAATTGCAGTGGCACGTTTTTTTTATTTTTTTTTCTTATTAAAAACTGGTAATCATGTTGACAATCACGACAATTGAACGTGTTCCACGAATCAAGCATCTCCCTTTTACAGCACGTCATTAGAACATTATAATTATCTTGTAATTAATTTGAAATATTGAAATTGAAAACAAAAAACACTTACCTTATTGTTTATATATCCTCAGGTTTCAATCGGTAAAAAAACTAAATACTCTTCTCAATTTTCACAACTACAGCAACTTATCCACAAACAATTTCCGATCCGAACGTTTCTATAAACACGTTAATAATGCGCTGTTTCCGAATATGGGACAAGCAGGTTAGGCAGGCAGATTAACCGCAAAAAATAACAAAATTTCCTGCAATAAATATAAAAATAGAATTTAATTTTTTTCTTTTTGATTCTTAAAAGAATTAGACAACAAAAAGAGAATAGGCAATTGAATTTACAAAAAATCCTCCAACTTGAATGGGAACAAGTTGACATTCACAAATACACACACACAAACTCAAAATTGCAAATTCATTGATAACGTTTAAAAAAAGAATAATAATGAAATTAATTATCATAAATAATTAGAGAAAGAATCATGAGATCTAGAGACAGTTTGAGAGAGAAGTAGATAAATTAAATCTTTTAACAAATTAATTCTAGTTTTTATGTTAAAGAATAGGGCCGGTATTAGATGCTGGAAATTCCAAACAGAGAGAGAGAGAGAACTCAAACGATGTATTATATTCGAAAACAGGTGGTAAAACAAAAATATATAGAGAAGTTACCATACGATTGGAAATAGCCAGAATTAGGTTCGTTTATAAAAAAATATCAAAAATTTTTTGCAAATCAAACGGCGTGTTATTTTATTATTATATGTTATTCTTCTATTGAGCTTCATTTTGTCAAGAAAATAAAAGTTCGGTATATGAGTAGATTTTTTTAATAAATAATGGGAGAACTTCTCCACACCAAAACCCTGAGCAATACCCCACAAATGGGGATATATGAAAAGCTAAAGCCACACTTTATATTTTTCAAACTCCCCTAACAGGTGGATTACGTTTTTACAACTACAAAAATCGGGCGATACTTATATATAATCATTACTTTCCATACGATTAGGCACCCATTGTTCACTTCAAATTTAGTGACTGACTGAAATCATAAGCATTTTGAATTTCTGGATGTAACGTTTTCCACGTAGACCTATACGTAGACCTATATTGACTATGTGTGTATAAAAATCCGGTTTAAATTGGAGGGTATTGAAATGTTGACCTATTTGTTTTCCAAAATACTCCAGACACAATAGTCCAACGGATTGGAATCCGGAGATTTTGGTGGCCATTGTGCGCTGGAAATTAAGCGAGAACCTCGTTTTGTAACCATTCTTGTGTGGTGCATGCCGAGTGCGATGGTGCTGAGTCCTGTTGGAATGTCCAAAGGTCAGCGGCCAAAATGTTTGCGTGCCCAAGGCTTTAATAAACCCTCCAGAATATTTTCGCGATAATATTCGGCATTTATTCTGATGCCACGGTCGATTAATACGAGCGGAGAGAGGCCATCGACAGTTACGGCGGCCCACACAGTCACCATGGCGCGCTTGAGTTCTGGTGGCCAACCGAAACTGCACATGTTGATCTGACCTCTTTGGCAAGTAAATCCAATCATTTTGTTTGTTTACAAACTGCTGGACAACGAATGTTTTCTCATCGAAGAAATCCAAATTCGGCAGTTCACCAAGCGAAGCGGCCAAGCGAATCAACTCTTTAGCTTTTTTCAGTCTATTTTCTTTCTGTTTCGGTGTAAGTTCTTGCACTTTTTGGAATTTCAATGGCTTTTCCCCGAGCTCATTTTTCAATATTTACCGAATGGAATATTACGATATGTTCAGCTCACGTGCCATTTTTCGACCACTGCGACGCCGGGCTCGATCAAGTCGCTTCTTTACTTTTCGAACCATTTCTGCTGATGCTGCTGTTTTCTTCCGTCCACTTCCTTGACGTCGGGCTACGCTACCAGTTATGCTACCGGCAACGAGCGATCGCACGAGACACAAAGGATTTATTCATATTTAAATGCTGGAGTGCTCTAACGATTGCCACTTGTGGTTTTCCAGCCAAATATAAAGAATTCACACTATCAAGCTTGAATTCCACCACGAATAACTTTTTTTCTGGAAAATTCTTACCAAAATGCTTTTGTACGCTTGTAAACAATGAGCTGTCACTGGAATAATTTTAACCGGTGTCGGACGAGTGGCTTAGAAATGACAGCAGTCTGAAGTTGGTTGCTGTTTTTTCATCTCACCCTGTATACTCCCTATAAATTGTTGTTTTTAACAGAATTGTCTCAAACTTGATACGTGGAGTTCATATGTGGCACTGACCTCGCTGGCAGACATCTATGTTTTCTTATAGTCTCAATAACTGCAATATCTGATATTCGGTATTTTTGACGGACGGTTTTAAAATTTAGCAAGTACCATACATATGGCGGACGGTATTAAAGGTTCGGCACAGCCGCTTTTTGAGCTGCTGTTTTTTTGGTTTTTTTTTTAGTCAATTTTGACTCTTGTAGGGGATATTCCAAAAGAAGTGTACCAATATTGTCCATTTCTGAGAGGGTTAGTGATTGTACTAACCGGCTTGCTAGATAGACATGCAAACTGTGCTGGACTGGAAATGTCCTGAAAAGAATCACGCTCAAATGCAACATAACCCCCATACGAAATACCACCCGATTAAAGGCCTATTTAGTTTTTAGCCGAACTTTTCAACGAAACTGGTTAAAAATTGACCGTTTGTGTTCCCTGAGAATAGAAATCGTTGTTGCAAAAAATTCTTTAAGTGGGTACCAGTTTTGGTGTTTGGTACATAGGGTATTTCGGGTTGTCCCGGTCGTATTTTCAAGCGAATAAGTGCTTTGTGTTTTTTTTTTTTTTTTGGCCAAAATTAGGTATGGAAGCCACAGTGAAAGTTTTAGACGCAAATGCCTCTCATTTGGCATTTCTCGTTTTCGACCTCCTTCTAAAAGAAAATACGTTTTTAAATTTCTTTGGTAAGACTCCATTGTAACATTTTCTCCCCATATTCGGTATTTTGAAGACATTCCTTCCGACTTTACTGATATTTGCAATTTTTTAATCTGACCCAGTGATGTTATTTTCAAACGTTTTTTTTTTGTTTGAGCTTCTGGTGGAGGCATGGTAGAAGAATATAGGTAAACGCGTCCAAGCGTTGATGCATCTACCTGTATTCTTCTGCCATGGGTGGAGGGTATCAAAAACGGATTCAATGATTCGGCGTTTTTAGCCTATTTATTTCAACAGTTCTTTAATAATGAAAAATAGGGTATTTTAAAATGGCTGTAACTCCTTAAATATTAACATTTCGGCGTTTTTAGCCTATTTATTTCAACTATTCTATGATGCCAAATTTTTTATAAACCCTCATCCACAATGAATGCTATCCCGTCGACATTCCAATAATACTGATTTTCGAAAACATCTGGTAACGCTAATACAAACGAGTTGAACAGAATCTAAAACAATGATATTATAAAATGCTCTCTCGCTCACAAAAAAAAAAAAAAACAGATAAAATGCAAAGCTTGTTTTTGCAGCTGTAAAACAAGCTTTGAAATACAACAGCAACAACAACACAAGCTCTTAAATAACATAAAACGTCAAAACAGAGATAAACGAAGAAACCAAAACAAAATGGAATTAAGTACGGATGACTAAACATCAACGACCCCAAAAAAAAAAAGGCGAAGGGGAGAAATGTTGGTGGGAGACGACGATAACATAAAAACGGTGAAAGAAAAAACTATAAATTAAACAATGAAAAATACAACGAGTATTTTATAAACCCAACTAACAAAAGCCCCCCAGAGATTTATTAATAACAACAGCAAAACTCAGGGTTTTACCTTTGGAAAAAAATAAAAGAAAATCCAAAGGCAGACGTTCCTCTTAATTTACGAGAGACACGCGTTAATAATTGACAGCAATGTGGACAACAAAGTAGACACCAGGAGACGTGTTTTTTGGCCAATGAACCAAACAAAAAACCAGCCATGGTCTGGCTGGCAGTGCGTCTCATGAGGCACCAACCAGCATGTCCAACGTCCACAAACAAATCACTGCCAGTTGGAGGGGGCGACAGCAGAAATCAAACTAAAAAACAGACACCCACCACATTTGTGAAGACATTTTTGTTTTTTTGTGAAGCCACACTCGGCATAAACAACAACGGTCGGTAATGGCCAACACCAAGGAAAATGGGTCAATCTTTGATTTAACCAAAAACGGCAAGGCAACAGAGCAAAAAAAATCAAACTAACAAGAGAAGAGCAAAAAAAACAACTGATTTTTAGCAAAACAAACCGCTGGAGTGTGAAGAAGAGGAGCAGCAACTCTAATAACACTAAATATTTATAACGTTGTGTACGGTCGGACGGTCGCTGATTCTTGTTTTGGCCAAATCGAAATCCATTGTTTTGCTGCTTGTTTTGGAAAACCCCCTCGTTTCACATGGTAAACATTTCAAATAGTTTGGTATTTTGGCGGCCATCATTTCTTTGTGCGGCCGGGCAGCCCGGGAGCAACACACACACACACTACTGATAGTTGGGTCTGGGGTTTAGAGAAATTTTTATTTTGTTGTGGTGAATGTTTTTTTGTTTTCTCGATTTTGTTTTTTCAAATCTATGGAGTCAGCCGCCGACTGCATGAATTGAATAAAATTAAAATTGTTTGGTGTTCATTGAAGTGGTTGGCATGTAGGTTTGTTTCCATTGGATTGAAATGGAACGCAGAAGAAGGACGCAGAGAAAATGCATTCGGAAAATTCACACACAAAAACATGACCATGACATGCAAAGGGACGTACCGTACGTACGTAACTGAATTTAACTAATATTATTAATGTGTATAACGAGCAGTGATGGAGGGGTTTTCATTTCATTTATCGATGTGAACATCGAAAAATTCTCACGTTTTTAATAACTACTGACAAATGTGGGATGGGTGGGATATGAAATTTTCCATTCAATGATGTTCGTATTTTTAGTGGAACATTAAGTTTTAGAATTTATTAAAGGCAACGATTTTAAAGAATCAAAAAAAAAAAACTGATTTAAGTCGGTTTTTGAAAATATTTTGTATTTTTTAATAACTCTTCTGGAGAAGTAAAATCAGAAGTGCTGAATTTTTGTTTACCTTTTGCAATGGGAAAACTTAAAATATGACCAAATCAATTTCCTTAAATGTGGTTATAACTTTAGATGATCTATGTGCAAATGCCTAAAAATTGTAAATATTTTTTTACGAAACAAGAATCTTTTCATCCAAATCCA